GACCTGTTTCTGAGCCGTCGTGTCCCATGCGACCAACGTGATCTGAACGACAACAACGGCAAGTGATATGAAGAGGGATATAGTGTTCAGGAGGTAGAAGACCTGGAAACCGACTTGATTGGCTATGTTAGCCTTCCCAGAATCTGCTCCATCGCTTATGTATTGACCGGGCAAGTTGAAGATGGCCAAGAAAGCTATCGATGCAAAGAGCACGGCCACGACCGTGATGGAGTTTGTGGTGTTCTGGACTGCTTCTCTGTGAAGTTTCCTAAGTTCTTTGGCGATTCCGGAAACTCTTCGGTTTGTTTTCTCGTTTTGTATCAACTGCGAGTGCACCTCGTGCTTAATATCGCTCACTGTCCTCTTTAGTTCCATTGCTTCATCTACTTGACCGATATACCTAGCGTGCTTAGCACCAGCCTCTGTTAGAGCTTCTTGAATTTCGAGTGCAGATTCTCCATACTGGAGTTTATCTGCCAAATCCATCGCAGTTTCTTTCTGATTATTTACGGTGTTGACATTGATAGATCTATAAGTTAGCAACAAGCTCACATTCTGCAAAAGGAAGCAGAAAACATAAGTAGATGGAAATATCCATAAATCAGTAAGCAGATTATATATCCTCAATATTTGAAATCTTAAGACATATTACTTGAATTCGGGTGTGAGCATCGGATAAGATACGTGCCCACCACAGGTATATGAATTATACACGGATTTTGGACAAAGGAACTTCAAGAAAAATGAAAAGCTGAAGCAATATATTTGGTTTATCATATTTACACAGATACCTGCAGGCGAGATTTCCTTGTAGCTATGTGCAATGCCGTGTTCCCCTTTTTGTCACGCTCGTTCAGAATGGAGTGATCGGCAAGCAATATATCGTCGACTACCGCCGGACACTGACCCTTGACAGCCATATGGAGTGCGGTTTGGCCTTTCTTATCTTTGACACTAACAATTCCATGATCGCAATCAATAAGAGCTTTTACTATATCGATAAGGCCATACCTAGCGGCCGTATGCAATGCAGTCTTTCCATTTTTCCGCACTATCCTTATGCAGCTGGCATCGGCACTCAATATCGCGTTTACCACCTCCAAATGACATTTAACAGCTGCAGAATAAAGGGGGCTCGTATTCGTAGAGTCGCATATCTCGCAAAGCTCCGGCCATATCCCCAAAAGTTCCTTCACAATGCCTACAAAATTCAGTACATAAATCCGTAACAGTCAATCACAGTCTACAAACGACAACATAAAACATGTTCAATTCTATATTATTAACTATCGTAAATCACATGGAAGGCTACATCACAAGGCTGCAAGAACGAATACCGGATTTCAGCTCAGAGTTGCTCGTATACTTATGCAGCTATTGATTATCTCGAATCTCAATATACCAAGAAAGATATACAGCCTGATGAGGCTACTACGGAGTATTTATTCATGGGTGCAGAAAGCTCTTCGATTCGAGCTCGTGGTTCATCTTCGCTACACGGTTCATCCAAGGCCAAGGCAGAGATCAAGGTTCGAGAAATAGTGAATGATCTTATGTATACACACAGCAATGACAAAATTCTATGTTGCTAAAGTAAGCTTAATTCAATTTCAAACTCGAACTCGAGCATGTCGAATAATATATCGGTATGTGTCCAATCCCATATCTAGATATATGCAGATGATTTCATCAAAATTCATCCCTTTCCCATCAACCCCAAAGTTCAAAATTCATCAAAATCAAAGCTGAAAACAGTAGAAACCATTAAAATTAAGCAAAGGGATCAAGAAAAAAAAGATGATACCCATATGTCCTAATTTGGCAGCAACATGAAAAGTGTTCATATCTGACTTGGACCTGATCTTAACAATCTCCACATCACAAAACTTGAGCAAATAGCTGAAAATCTCCTGGGAATTGTTCTCGGCAGCAATATACAAACCGGTAGCTCCCGATTCATTTCGAGCAGTCATAACATCAGAAACCGTTGATGACCCATCTGCCGGTTCATCTTTCGTCAACTTATCCAATAACAGCTTCACGGATTCGAGCTCCCCAGATCGAACAGCTGCGAAGAAACACTGCTGTGTGAGGAAACGCAAAGGCTTTGACTCCATCACCGAGTCTTCTTCTTCTTCTTCTTCTTCTTCAAGTTTTTCACTTTTCTTTGATTTTCATTTAAAGGGGTGGATTGTCAAGCAGTTGTTTTCTATGCTGTAAAGGATAATAGAGGATAAATCAATGGTGGGCATTGAATTAATATATATTGGGGGATTATAATTTCACTGTAATTGCAACCATGTGACAAGGACGTAAAGTTGAGTGTTTAAAAAGGAAGAAGCAGGTAATAATAATATAAGTATTTGGCTTTATTCGCCATTTACTCGCTTTGATGTATAGCAGGTCAAGGTCTTGGGTCACACTTCCTATTACGCGTAGTCTCTAATCATGTACTCCTCTTTAATCTTATTCAGGTTTAAATGTACACGTTTGCTACTCTTCTTTACATATATTTTTATAAGGATCTATTGTTTTAAATCTACCTCTTAATTCACCTCTTAATTCAGTTCAAGTTTTACATAGATATTAGAGCGATTCTCTTAATTCAATTTGCTCTATTTGTAAATATTTTAACTTTTAATAAAAGATAAAATGACTGTCCCTTTTTTCCCATATGTATGGGGTAAGGGGGAGGTAAGATAGTAGGAGGCCCCCAACACCAGGTTGAGAGCAGCTTCCGTAGGAGACCTCCGAATTATGAAATGCCCTCCGTGGAACTTGATCCCACGACCTCAAGGTTTAGAACCTTGTGCTCTACCAACTGAGCTGGATGGTCATTTTAATAAAAGATAAAATACACAAATGATCTTCTAACTATAGTGTGTTGTTTTGTTGAGTCATTCAACTATTAAAAGTTACAAAATAGTATTCTAACTATAAAACGTTGTTTTGTTGAGCCTTCCAAAAATTAAAAGTTATAAAATGATCTCCGACTATTCATATGTCTCAAATTCGTCATTTTTATTATAAAATTAACGATAGCCTAAGCTAGACGTTAACTTGCTGAGTGAGATATGATAAAATTTGGTATCATAATCTCAAACGATTGTCATATCTCAATCAGCATGTTAATTTCCAACTCAGACAACCATTAATTTTTTAACAGGAAATGACGAGTTTGAAATTTAATGAATAATCGGTGACTATTTTGTAACTTTTAATAGTTGAGAGACTCAACAAAGTAATCCCTAAAGTCGGAATATTTTATAACTTTTAATAGTCCGAAGATTCAACAAAACAATATTCTAAAATCGATGAACCATTTATGTACTTTATCGTTAAATAAAATAATATTAAACATATTTAAATACCTAAATATTTTTAACATAATAAAATAATTATTTTAAATTTTAATAAGCAATACATTAATCAATGATCCAATGTGTTTTTTTTAATAAAGAAAGTTTTTAAATTGATGCATTTTTGTGAGAATATTAAACATATTTAAATACCTAAATATTTTGTCTTTTTGTTTTATGTTTTTTTTTTCTTAAAACTTAAGAAATACTCAAGGTTTAATTCTTCCTCCAGTCCCTATACTCTTTCCACTTTAAAAATATCCCTCTACTCTTTTGATTTCATAATTTGTAGTCCAATTGATTTTAAATTGGACTTTCGTCCAATTGGCTGGAATCGTCCAAAATCCGAGGTGTCGGGGTGGGTTTTCAACGAATCGATTCCGGTGAACGGCGACGGCTATCCACGAATTGTTTTAAGGGTTTTGATCATGGCGGTGAGGCGCTTCGATTGGGCTGGGCGGTGACAAGAACGAACAATCGGCGGCGGCGATCGGCATGGGTTTAGGAGTTGAAATGAAGGTTTTTAAAGTTTTGAGATTATTTCTTTTAATTAATCATTTTCAATCCCAGAGCAACCAGATTTAACATGAGCTTCCATCAGTGGTTTCTCCCAAGTCATCATCACAGCCTTGCTATCAGAGTCCATCAACTTATCCTCATTAAAATCAAGTCGGCCTGAATTCATGTTCAATTACATACACTTATTTGTGAACACATCATATAAATTCGCTGTTTGAATCTCCCCCGTCGTTCCTTTTGAAACAATGGGTAACCTTTTTGCTGTAACTGGTTTCAATTACTAAATTTAATGAATTATTCAGCTTTCTAAATCTCTTTGATATTAAACTTCATGTAAAGAGATAAACAAAGTAACGGATTACCTGCGGTGAGAAGGACTTCAAAGGCTTCCTGGTGACCGGCGTCCATGGCAAAGTCACCAGCTGCGTGGTTAGATGGAGAAAGAGCGTTCCAACGTAATTAAATCAAGAGATTGGGGATTGAAAAATGATTAAATAAAAGAAATAATCCCAATACTTTAAAAATATTCATTTCAACCCCTAAACCCACGCCGATAGTCGCCGTCGCTCGTTCGTTCATGTCACCGCCCAGCCCAATCGAAGCGCCTCGCCTCCATGATCAAAACCCCCCAAAACAATTGGTGGATAGTAGTCGCCATTCGTCAGAATCGTTTCATCGAAAACCCACCCCGACATCTCGGATTTTGGACGATTCCGGCCGCCTCGGACCTCTGTTTTCCACACCGCCACTACATTAAGCTTCCTCATCGCTGTCCTCTCAAAACCCAACTGGTGGGTCACGTTGTAGTCGTCGTCCGTCATCGTGGTTAAGTTTCGATGTGAGGATTTGGGATTTTTTGTAATTTCAAAGAAATAAAATTTTTTTATAAATATAATAATATTTATTTTCAAAAAGAAATTTTTAAAATTACCATATTGTGACACATGTCACTTAACGGAGAAAACTAATGATCTGTCACGGCGTGACCCATTCTGAGTTACGAAATATAACGTTAGGCACCAAACTGAAACGAAAAAAAATTTAGGCACTGAACTAGAAAAACGGGTATACATTGGGCACCTTTTGTATATTAAAACCTTAATATTTCTATTGAAAAAAATAATGATTCAACTATTTTTAAAAGGTGAGTGTTAATTTTAACTTTTCTAGTGAAGTGTTGAAAGTTTAACTAAAAAAATATTAAGGGCTAAATTGAAGGAAAATGTAGACGTTAAAGATTAAATCTATCATTATGCCTTATTAGTTATCACACCAATTCAAAAATAAACTAATAGGCAAATTGCATTTTCCACTCCCGAACACAACAAGATTTTCAACTTGGTCCCTATTTTTTTTATAAAAAAAATGAAAACTGACCTAGTAATTCGTTTGTGACAGGAGACGAATTTAACTACGATGAAGGAAGTGGAAGGGGACCGTCGAGTTGGGGCACACTCAATTTAAACTGCAGCGCCGGACTACGGCAATCTGCGATCGATATCCGACCGGTCCAAGTTAGTTCTGAGCTGAGAGAGTTGCAAAGGAACTACAGATATGCTGCAGCTGATTTGAGGAACAGAACTATAGATGTCGCCGTAAATTGTTTACTTATACACAATAAGACAATTCCCTTCAACAGTTAATATTTGATTGGTGAAAGAATGAAGTATAATAAAAGAATACATATTTGGTGAATCAGGTGGTCTTTACAGGGAATGGGAACTTACCATAAATGGAAGAGCTTATAGAGTGCAAAATATTCACTGGCATTCACCCTCGGAGCACACTTTCGACGGAGTAAGGTTTCCCTTGGAGGTTCACATTGTTCATCGCAGTGACCAAAATGACACTGCAGTTGTGTCCATACTTTACCGTTATGGCCTGCCTGACCCCTTCCTTGCAACCGTATGCCAACGTTCTGCTTTTGTGTTTTCTTTTTCATTCTATAATTATATTGTCGTAACCGGTTTTCGCCCGGACACGAATTTTTTACTTGGGGGAAAAATAACGTGAATAAATGGTTTTTAAAATAAATTTGGGAGTCACCATCGGCCTTTTGGGTCAGGTAGGTCGAATACCTAAAATTATCTTTAAAAGAGTTTTTAAGAAAACATCAGTTAAAAGATAAACTGATCTGCGTTTATAACAAAAAATTCTTTCTTTTTAATAATAAAAAAGGATTCGTGGTCGGTTACGTTTAGGGAATGATATAACGCCCAAAATTGATACTTTTTAATTATACATTGTCTCTTATTATTAGAAATTTAAGAATTCAAAGATATATTTAATTCATAATTATGTTATTTCAAATAATTTTAAGAAAATATATATTATAAATAAGATTTATTTATTTAGAATATCAGAAAAGGGCTTCTAGGTGCTTTAAGACAGCTCTTTCTTCGATATAAAAAATAAAATAAATATTAAAAATGTAATACTTTTTCATAAAAAATATTTAAATAAAAATAAATTATAATTTTTATAATATTTAATTTAAACAAAATATATAAATATATTTTAAGACTAAGATAATAATAAAATAATAATTAAAGCCATAATAACAAATTAATATTGTAATTAAATAATGATCAAAATAAAAGAAATTAAATAAAACTAAATATAAAATATCAAAAATAAGATAATAATTCAAATATTGAAAGATAATGGTTATAGTGTAATTTAACCTAATTAATTAATTGGGATATAAATATAGATTAATAAATTATAAGGGATTAAATCGGTTATTTACCCTAAAGTATATGCTGGAAAGGACTAATAATATAAAAATTACGAGACTAAATTAAAATATATAGAAATTATTGTAGTGACTAAATTATAAAACACAAAATTAAATAATGAATTAAAAGGCATAAAAGTCAATTTTAGTGACCAAAATGAATTGTTTACAAAACCTGAAGGGCCGCGAAAAGGTTTGTCAGTGGTGAAATACGGACATACCCCTCCCAAACGACGTCGTTTGGGAAGGGGTATATACTCCCCTTCCAGCTGGCGAAGGGCCATCGTTTCCATTTCTCTTTTCTCTCTCTCTCTAACTGAGAGAGAAGAGAATTCTCTCTCGCTTCTCTCTAGCTTCCCTCACCAGAGGGAAGCCGGTCATCGGCCGGCAGTCTGCCGCCGTAATCCCCACCGCCGACCACCGCATCCGGTGGCCGGAAAATTTTATTTTATACCAAAACGTAGATCGGACCGTCCTAATGACGTTCTGGTGTTCTTTTCTCTTAAATAGCTCCGATCGGAGCAAATCTAGGAAAATACCTTCGGTTTCGAAGGTTTTTGGTGACGCTTGGAGGCCGGTGACTCTGATCGAGTTGTTGTCTTCCCGTAAGTTCTCTCGCTCTTCTTTTTGTTTTTGGTTTGCTTTCTATTTTTTTCCTTTTTTTTTTGTTCTCTGTTCTTGCTCTCCGTCTTTGCTTGATGTGGTTTCTCCCCTCTTTGCAGGTTCGTGGTGGCTTTTATAGCCCCACAGTGTCTTCTCGGACCGGATAATAGGGTAAAGTTTGGTGAGTCACCAAGCTATAGTGGTGACTCACTCTAGACTTCAACGTGTGCGGCGCTCGAGTCTTCTGGAGTCTTCATCGGAGGCGTGGCACTGGTGGAGCGTCGGCAGCTGGACGTTGGACCACCTGGCAGAGGCAACGGCTGGCCTTCTGGAATCTTGGAGAGGCGGCTGCGGCGCTAGGGTTTAGAAACCCTAGCTAAAACCCCAAATCAGTTTAGGGTTTCCATTTAGGTCTGGACCGTTCTGGTTGGGTCTGGGATTTGAATGTAATTGGGATGTGATTTGGGCTTTGTAATATTTAATAAATAATAAATATATTAATAATAATAATAATAATAATAATTTAATTTTAATAATAATAAATTTAAATTTAAAATGAAAAATGATGTCTACAGCTGCCCCTCTTTACTTATCCTTGTTAACAAGAATAGAGCAAAGACGAAAAAGACAATAATTTTTTCATTTGCTTCTTTTGAGCATGATGGAAATATTTGAACATCATGCACTGAAGGGTACAGATGACCCGAAGGTTTGAAAACATCAAAAAGCTCCCGAAGGCTTTTTGGAAACATCATGCACTGTAGGACTTACAGATGACCCTAAGGCTTTGAAACATCAAAAGCTCCCGAAGGCTTTTTGGAAAATCATGCTGCAGGACTTACAGATGACCTAAGGCTTTGAAACATCAAAAGCTCCGAAGGCTTTTGGAAACATCATGCACTGCATGACTTACAGATGACCCTAAGGCTTTGAAAACATCAAAAGCTCCCGAAGGCTTTTGGAAACATCATGCACTGCAGGACTTACAGATGACCCTAAGGCTTTGAAAACATCAAAAGCTCCCGAAGGCTTTTTGGAAACATCATGCACTGCAGGACTTACAGATGACCCTAAGGCTTTGAAAACATCAAAAAGCTCCCGAAGGCTTTTGGAAACATCATGCACTGCAGGACTTACAGATGACCCCAAGGTTTTGAAAACATCAAAAAGCTCTCGAAGGCTTTTTGGAAACATCATACATTGTAGGACTTACAGATAACCCTAAGGCTTTGAAAACATCAAAAAGCTCCCGAAGGCTTTTTGGAAACATCATACACTGTAGGACTTACAGATGACCCTAAGGCTTTGAAAACATCAAAAAGCTCCCGAATGCTTTTTGGAAACATCATGCACTGTAGGACTACAGATGACCCTAAGGCTTTGAAAACATCAAAAGCTCCCGAAGGCTTTTTGGAAACATCATGTACTGTAGGACTTACAGATGACCCTAAGGCTTTGAAAACATCAAAAAGCTCCCGAAGGCTTTTTGGAAACATCATGCACTGCAGGACTTACAGATGAGCCTAAGGTTTTGAAAACATCAAAAAGCTCCCGAAGGCTTTTTGGAAACATCATGCACTGTAGGACTTACAGATGACTCTAAGGCTTTGAAAACATCAAAAAGCTCCCGAAGGCTTTTTGGAAACATCATGCACTGTAGGACTTACAGATGACCCTAAGGCTTTGAAAACATCAAAAAGCTCCCGAAGGCTTTTTGGAAACATCATGCACTGTAGGACTTACAGATGACCCTAAGGCTTTGAAAACATCAGAAAGCTCCCGAAGGCTTTTTGGAAACATCATGCACTGCAGGACTTACAGATGTAGGAAATAGTTTAATAAGTAAAAAAAACTAAGGAAATCGTTTTCTTACTTTTCAACAATTTCATTTTAGAAAAGATAAAATGAGAAACTATGAAAATCGTTTTCTCATTCTGGTTTTTGAAATAACATGTTGATTGGGTAACATGACCCAATCTGAAGATAATGCTCATTTTTGTGGATTACGTCCATCTCTTTTTCAGATGTTTGCATGATTCATGTATTTGTGGTTTTGAATACATTCTTTGTGTAAGGTATTTTTTACCATGAATCTTCTTGTTCTTCCGAAGATCTGTAAAACTTCATGTTTGAATGCACTCAGATGTATCAATGTAATGCATTGTCTATTGTGTAAATGATATTCTTATGAATGCATGAATGTTGATGCAATCTTCATTTGACTTCAAAGTGGTGAACTTGGTTTTCTTTCAATTCATCATTTATTGCCAGGGTTACCTCTGGATATCAGTGTAGAAACTTATGCTATCAAGCTTGCATTTCTACAGAATCATCTGATCAACTTGTATTTTTGCATCTTCTTAACTTCATTTAAGTCTCAGAAGAATGTTTCATTTATGGAACTCTTGTCGTAGTCAAAATTATGACCCTGATGCCCCATTTTCTTTGGTAACACCGGCTTTCTTTGTCTGGATTTGTGTAGAAATCCAATAAAGCTTTCATCTGTGAAAAGGGAATCTATCATCTTTAAAAAGAGAATCTATCATCTTTGAAAAGAGAATCTATCATCTTTGAAGAGGTAGATGTAGATATGCCTGACTCAGCAGGAATTAATTAGGAGAGTAGAGTCTGTTCTAATTTGACTCTTGAAACATGTCACAAGGAAGATTTATTCCAATTCCTTTCATGTCTCCACATATAATCAGATCTCGAATAAGGCAACTTCGACCATATCATGTCGAGATGTTTAACAACAACCTATCGTTCAACCTTAGTTGGCTCCACTAGTTTCTTGTTGTTAAAATTTCAGCTCTCTTTCTGCGGAAAGAAATCTTCATCATATCTCACTTCTAATCTTGAAGTTGAAGAATACAAACTTTATCTTGGATCAAAAATGGAAACCATATGATCACAACATTGGTTCAGCATCAGAATAACTAGTTCGTAAAACATTTGACAACACATGCATCATTTTCTGTGGTTTCTGCTTAGATGTAAAACACTTGACAACACATTCATCCTTTTCTGTGGTTTCTGCTCAAATGTAAAACACTTGACAACACATTCATCCTTTTCTGTGGTTTCTGCTCAAATTTCTCAATCATTGAAGCTCTTTGCCTAGTGTTCAAAATTTTTGTATGATGTCACAAGACCATTTGAGAATAAAACTCAGTGGGGAATCAAGTGTGATGTTAGTATGACCAAAAAGTTGGTCAAATTCACAAAATGTGCTAGTGTCGAATTGAATAAGAAGTACCAACTAATCACATTTTCATATCGGGCAAATGCAAATATAATACTGATCACGTTTTCTTCTGTAATGATCATTGTAGAAAGTAGAAACACTTTAGCTATAGGATCCATGCACATAAAGATATTCGTGGAATTCTTGCTGCTGGGGATGAAACGCACATAATAAAACCTAAAATAAATAAAAATTCAGTTCAGCCTGGCTGGCAATGATGATCCAGTAACAACGGGAATAACAGTAATATAAGTGAGTTGAGTCTCCCTTTTCAATGTCATCAAGTAAGCAAAAACCGATGTGTAAAATAGTTTCATAATCCCAACAATATGGTTGAAACTAACTGCCAGGAATCTCAAAGAAATATTTTCAATTATCACCGACACACAAAAGGCCAAATTCAAAGCTGAGATCTCGAGGAACTGAACCCTGGATTGAGTAGTCTGTCTGGGGACCATCTTTATTCATGCAACCGTGTTGTAGCTTAACAAAGAACACGATGTCATATGAAACATGGTTAAGAAGATTGGGTATTTGAAAACCATACTTGGTGAGTAGATATTTGTTCAACAACAAGATTCTAATGCAACTGCCTGATGAACGAAGCAATTATGTATAGTCAGTTCGACTGTCACTGTTTTATCATTTTCATTCTTCATATCTTTCTGTCTCATTGGAAATATCTGCTCAAGTCAATGATTTTTAACAACACATGATGATGTGGGCCTTCAGCATGCCCCAACATTTGCTGATATGATCGTTCAAAAATGCATCAAAAATCCTAATTCTGATTGAAATGGGCTTTCAGCATGCCCCGATATTTGCTTCTTGTTAATCTGAGCCTTCAAAATGCCCCACATGGATCTGTCTGAAGGAACCTTTAAAATTCCCCAACATTTGCTGATACAGATGTTAAAATGTGCTCAACATTACTTCTTGTTGAGATGAGCCTCTAAGAATGCCCAAATATTCATATTGTTGTGAGCCTTCAAAATGCCCTAATATTCTATTTCGGATTGAAATGGGCCCTCAAGATGTCCCTCTAGATTTGTCTGATTCACTCTCAATGTCTGTTTGACAGAAATGTCATGATCCCCACGAGGTCCAATTTTGACAATGAACTGTTGTAAGTACTTGTAGCTTTTTTCGTGACCCAAATTTGTTTATCTTGAATACTCTCATTCTGGTGTCACTAAACAGTAGTATTGTCAAGTAACTAGAGAAATTCTCTTCATGTTGTTACAAATTTAAGAAGTACTCAATCATTCTGACAGAAACGTCTGAAATATGTGTCTTCTAAATGAGGTGACCATTTTCTGTATCTGGAGGGGTCTAGTGAGACAGAGTAGTATAAATTACTTGGTAATCTGTTCCAGGCTGACACAGTGGCTTATCATCTTTCAGTGAAGGCCATCTCTGAAATATACTTTTCCGTAGGAGAGAAACCAATTTATGCAAACAGTAATCTGATGCAATGGCAAGACTACATATACAATGGTACATGCTCTTGAAAAATCCACACCCATGCAATATGTTGATTCTGATAACAACTCATCTGATTATGAAGTGATCTTTCAGGATGATTTCACAGATATTGATAGTTCTTTCTGATACCGAGGAAATCCTGAATTCTGATTCTGATGAGGAGAATAAACTGTTATTCTTGACGAAAATGGGTACTCAGAAGCTGAAACTTCAATAGCCATGAAGAGATGTGGTCTGAATTAATCAATTGCAGAGTTGACAGATTCTGAATTCTTCAATTACAGAGTTGATAGATTTTATATGTGCTGCTCAAATATTAAAGGTTGTTGACGCACTTCTTCTGGTAGAAGATAGGAAGTAATTATGCAATGACCCTAATAACAAGCAAAGACAAAACTTGGGATATGATTTTTGAAAAGGAAGAAGCAAAGGAAGCTT